TGTCTTGTCTAGTTCAATGAAAAGACAAAGGAGATTTGAGATCTGATCTTGTTTATTTCTTTCTCATAAAAATCTTATTTTTGACTGGATTCAGACTTAGAAGTGGAAGCTCTCAGAGAGGACAGCCTGCGTCTCTTCGCAATCTGTTCTTGGCGTTTTTCTTTAGCCTCCTAAATAAAACCAGAAAAAAATGTAGTTAAGGCTTGTGTAGGTTCAAGATATAAAACCAAGTCTCCCAAGTAACCTTGCTTACCTTCATTCTCTTGGCCAAAAGTTTAGCATATTCTGCTGCCTCTTCCTTATTTTTCTTAGTACGTTGTTTCTTGAGGGCAATACGCCGGCGTTTGTGTTGCAGGACACGGGGAGTCACAAGACGCTGAATCTTGGGTGCTTTGGTCCTAGGTTTCTTACCTAAAAATTCAAATGATGACTTACTCGTGTTTCAGTGCTGATGTGTTCTTCACTATCCACATCTTATTCATAGTAGACAACACACATATGCATATCAGTGGGACAGACACGCCCTCTACAGGGTCTCCTCATGCCATTATCCCCCTGACCAGCATTCTAGCTTTTCAGGAGTCTGGGCAAGCACGTACTCACAAGTGCACGCAAAAGGTATGCTTTCAAACAGACCCAGAGATCTGAATCCCTGGTCAGTCACATGGGTCCATATCTATACTCTGAAAACATTAGAAACAGATGTAAACTTAATTTATTAGGTTTACAAACAGTACCTACCTATAGAAGGATTTGGTTATATGAAGTCTTTTAAATCAAATCTAAACTAATCTACAACTCAACATACTTACTACCCCACAATAAAAATCTAAAAGATAGGCTAAGTACTGTAAAAGTACCACAAATAGAGAATATCTAAGGCCTCCCATGAATACCTGAACTGCAAATGCCCCAAGCCCTTTTAGTCTATATTTTGTGTTTTTCCTTACATATATACCTTTGATAATTTGGTTTATAAGTTAATCACAGTAATATTAAAAATAATAAAAGTGGAACAAATTTAAAACACTAATAAAAGATGTAGGAGTGTGGTATCTCAAAATATTGAACCATCAGTTTTGTGGAAAGCTAAACCACAAGTGGGCGTGGGAAGGACTACTGTACAAGGAAAGTAACCACAGCCTGTGTTTTAACTGAAGCACAGCTACATCAATTTAAAACAGCCTTAGCTGGTCTGTGAAAACAATGTAAAGCTGGACCAAGCAAGGGCATGGTGGTTAAGGCAACTGGATTCTACATGGCTGTGTGGTTTGAGTCCCAGACCAGGCAGCTTGAAAAGCATGCCAGGCACATAGGCATGTGTGCCTAAAATCCCCAAAGGAGAACAGGGATTACAACATGGCCACTGCCCCCCCCCCCGCCCCCGGGGGTGTTCTTACTCCTTCCGCCCTCTAGTGAGCATACACGCACCCTTGTAGCAAATTAAAAATGTAAAAACCATTATCTACATCTTCCTACCATACTTTGAAGCAATAATTAGTCTCATTTATGTTTGAATCTATTTCCCATGACAGATCCTACCAATCTAGTGGAACTAAACTATAGAATACCCAAGTGACACAGACTATATACCTTCACATTTAGTCTTTCTGGTCTAGACTCCAAAATTAGTAATGATTATACATCTGCTTTGCAGTAAAAAGCCTTTTGACTTCACAGACACTTTGTGGAAGAAATACCTCAGTTTTTAAGAGGAAATGTTGGGGCTGGCAGGTGGTGTGCAGTTTGAGTCCCAGACCTGGCAAGCTGATTTCTTTCTCACCCCCCAGCTCCTCTCTCAAGTTAAATTTAAAAAACTAATTCTTAAAAAAACAAAGAGGGGGGGGAATGCTTACCTGTCTAGGTTCTATCTTAAAAACCTGCATCACCTGTTTGCCAATTACAATATATTTTTTGCAATGTAAACTTCACGTCATAGGTCTCTATCTATGCTATATTATCCCCTGCACCTAAACAGTACCTGGTACATAGTAGGTGCTCAAGTATTTAGAATGAGTCACTGATAAGCACGTATTAAATGCCAAGTCACAACAATCTTGGAAACCAAAACCCAGGTAAGTTTTTTTTTTTCAGATGCCAGGAAAACTCAAACCTGAACTGACACCCTAACTTTAGTATTATACCCTACCACTATTACAATATATTTTTTGCAATGTAAACTTCACGTCGTAGGTCTCTATCTATGCTATATTATCCCCTGCACCTAAACAGTACCTGGTACATAGTAGGTGCTCAAGTATTTAGAATGAGTCACTGATAAGCACGTATTAAATGCCAAGTCACAACAATCTTAGAAACCAAAACCCAGGTAAGTTTTTTTTTTTTCAGATGCCAGGAAAACTCAACCTGAACTGACACCCTAACTTTAGTATTATACCCTACCACTATTGTGGACCGACAGTGGATTTATACATCTTCATATGTTCTTTTTTTTCTTGTTCATATGTTCTTAAAAATGTATGACTCCAAAATCCTAACATCTACTCCCTCGTATTCTGGATAAAATATTTTTCTAACTTATAATCCTTGAAGCCATCACTACTATGATCTCCTGCACACAGATGCAAAAAATAGCCAGAAGTTAAAATGATTTCAGTAGGTGAAAACAAGTATTTCCTTTGTAGGTCAAAATATCATTTAAAACCCCTGGCATAAAAAGAAATGCAAAAGGCCATTATTAAGGTGACAACATCAGTCACACTCCACTATTTCTAATAATTCTTGTGATTCCTAAGCTTCAAAGCAATGAACTTAAAAATAGTCTGCTAAGTTTTCTTTGGACAACTCTGTATGTGTTAATGCCTCACAGGCATATTTCCAAACAAACACTTTACAGGGCACTGGATGAAAAGCAAGGATTAATACCAAACACACACCTGGACTTCTACTCAAATTATTTTCCCTAATAAACAGTAATGCACAAATGTTATCTTCTAATATGCACAAAATGCTAGGGTTAAATTACTAAAATTAAGCAAGCCTCAAATTGTGTAATACAGCCTACCTTCTTTATTTAAGGGCTTTCTTACAACATATTGACGGACATCATCTTCTTTAGAGAGATTGAAAAGTTTTCGGATTCTGCTAGCTCTCTTAGGCCCCAGGCGACGAGGCACGGTAGTATCAGTCAGTCCTGGAATATCCTTCTCTCCTTAAGAGACAAATGAACAAAAATATTACAATAACCTCTTTATAATTAAGGACCCTAATGCAGAACCACTAACTTACAACTACACTTGTAAAAAAAAACCCAAAAAACACTAGTCAGTGCAGATACTGAAAATAAAAAAAGCATTCAACTAACTTTAAATCAATTTCCAGAAAAAACAGAACTGAAAACAGAATAAGCCTTACCTTTTTTAACAATAACCAAGTTGAGAACGCTCAGATTGGCATCCACAATGCAACCCCGAACAGATTTGCGCTTTCTTTCTCCAGTTCTCCTTGGTCTGTAACAGGAATGTCCCTTACTCAGTAGCAGGCGGACACGGCCGTGGGTCAAGACGCCCTGCTTCATGGGGAAACCTTGTTTGTCGTTTCCACCACTGATTCGGACTACATAACCCTGCAGATACACAACACATTTACTATTTCTATTCAAACATTAAGAAATACATATTGTGTCATCTATGAACCACCTCTGTTCTAGGGAGTATTAAGATCATTTTCAGCATCTTAATGTTAAGTGTTTTATCTAATAACTAAGTTTTGTTTCCAAATTGCCAACTTTAGTGGAAAACTCATTCAAGTCACATTCTCCTAACCTACATTTTACTAGCAGTAACACTAAGGTCAATGTTGGGGGGAGGGGGGAAGCAACAAATCACAAAAATTCCTTCTTGGTGCTTTAAACCACCCACCCACCCACCTTTCAGGAGTCTTAGGACAGCTGTCCTGTGCTGAAAAGTCAGGCAAGAACTAGTTCGTGTAAACTTTCACGTGTATTTTCCCACTTAGTCTGTCTACCACATAATCCTGCCAGGTGATAGCTCCTAAAATTGATACTTGGAAGTTATCTACCCCAAGGTCAGAGGTCAGAACCCAGAATTTGAACACCAAACAGCAATAGCGTTTACCATCTCTTATGAAAGCAGCTGTGGTAGCCAGCTTTTACCTTCCATTCTTCGCCCAAAGCGTCAGCAGCAACTTCTGTGGCCATACGCTTCTCATAAAAAGTACGAAGTTTGCGTTCATCGTCCACTTCAATGAGTTTCTGGCAGCCCGTGGCTGGGAAGGAAATATTCAGCTAGGAATTGAGCGGTGGGGAGGTCAGTTACACAGGTAATTGTAGAGTCATCCGCAAAAATAACGCTATTGAAAAGCCTTTCATGTCACCCCCACGAGATCAGCAAAAAATCTAAGCAGTCGATTTTACTCTCTAGCAGCACGTGTACGCATAAAACACCCAACAAGCGCCTCACGTTTTCTCCCAAGCTCCACGGAATGACTCCAGGAGCGAGGGCGCTCCGCGGTGATTCACCTAAGCAGAGCTAGGGATACGATCTTACTAGCGAGGACCGAGGGCCGCATGACAGACCTGCCGCAAAGCGGGCAGAACGCCTACCTCGGTCCCAGTACAGCGCGAGGACGCCACCATGGCGCTCCCAGCACTCACGGCTCCGGTCGCAATCGCCCGCCATCCGCTCTCCTAAGGCCCTCCGACCCCAGGAGAGCGAGCTTTCTTCTGCTTTAGACCCTTCCCTAACTAGAGCCAGGATTTTGGATCGCGGAGACTGCGGCAACACTGCATCCTGGATCTCGCTCCCGTTCCCTAAACCAAATCCAACACCCATTACCACCCCCTACCTTCATCTTGAAGCAGCTGACCTCCTCCGAGTCGCCACGAAAAAGAGGCCCAACTTCCGCTTAGCTCAGGTCACATAGGCACTCTCTGTTATCGCGAGATGAGCAGGAGCGTCGGGTAACGGAAGTGATCACAGTGAGAGGCACTTCCGGGGAGGGGCCAACTAGCGACAGGGAGGTGGGTCCCGCGTGGCCTACGTCTGCTCCTGCACCAGAAGCAGAGGACTGGTGGCGCTATCCCACCTTTAGTTCTAACTAAAGGTTAGTCCCTTCACTGACTGATAATTCTGCGCTTGCCTGTGCCTGGTGGCTGGGCCTGGGCCTGGTGGCTGGGTCAGAGTTTAACCTCAGCTCGTCTCCAGAGTCCCCCCATCTAATGTTACCGAAGTAGCAGGGCCGGGCCGAAGTTCACTCTTACTCCTAGGCCCGTGTACCTCTGACTCGAGATCTTCAGTCCCCAAGCATGGCTGCCCTGGTCTCCGCAGTTCATGTCAAGAAATCCCGACAGGCTTGATTTGTTTTCCTGTTACTTACGAGTCATCTGCCTGACTTCTCTAAGTGCATTGGAATTTTTTCTGTTCTATCACAGATGACAGCCTCGGTCCACCTGTCTCACTAGCCAGTCACCAGGGTTAACAACCAGAGTTAACTCAGATCCAGGTAACCAACCACCTATGCCTCTTAAACGCTCCCTGCTTTCTGGCCTCTGCGAAGTTTTTAAAACGCGAAAGAGGGCCAGTAGGTGGCGTGGATGTTAAGGCCCTGAATCTCACAGGTCCATCTGCAGAGCATGTGTGCCTGTATGCCCAGAATCCTGAGGGAATGGAGAAGGGAGAGAAGGTATAGTGCATGGTGTTCCTCCGGGAAGATGACTTCTCTCTCTCCCTCTCTCTCTCTCTCTCTCTCTCTCTCTCTCTTTTTCTCTCTCTCTCAATAAATATACTTAAAAATAAAACGATTTGCCTGGCTTACACTCTAACCCACAATCTAGTTCTGTTGAACCTTGCGGTATGTGCTGAGATCCTATACTTTCCTGCAACTGTACATTAGTTCTCACTGATTCCTTCATCCAGAATCTTCTGCTCCTGAATCCTTCCTGAAGAACTAATCTCAAATGACACCTTTCATGAAGCCATCTGTGGAAAAACTAAAAAGAGTTAATCATTTCTTTCTCTATATTCTCATTTCTTTTGGTCACACTCAACTTGTCGCTCACCAAGCATGAATTTTAGCTGGGCTAGAGAACATTCCCCATATTTATACAGCATGCCCTGTCACAAAGTAAGAAATCTAAGATTAGAACATGTAGATGGCTGCACTTCCTTCGTTCTCCTGGGCTCTCCTGCCTGTTCTATGAGTACGTGTATCATAATGCTTAGTCACTGCTCACTTTCTAGGCCAGCTTCTTCATTAACCTAGCAGCATCTGCAGCTGGGTCATCTCTCTTTGGTTCTGTGTGTCTGGCTCACAGTGCAGACTCTGCTTCTTGGTAACTTCCTTGGTGAATATCTGTCATCGCCACCAAATTGTGAGGCTCTGTGTGCCTTTTTCATGGCTCTATCCTCAAAATCTCTCATAGTGCTCAGAATAGGTAGATATAAAGTGTAATTTTGTTTACTGAATAAATAAGTTATATCCTTTGTCAAAATTTATCTGTATTTTAGACATTGTTGTATTGAACTCTTTCTTTTCTAGTATGTAGAAAGCTACTTAAATGCAAGAAGTATGACTCATCCTTTCTTAATATCCTAACCCAAATACCATATTATAGATTTTTAATACAGAAGTATTCAAATGAGTTGGTTTTCTATATGAAGTAAATCTCTCTCTCTCTCTCTCTCTCTCTCTCTCTCTCTGACGAGCGCATGCGCCATATAACAAAAACTAAAAACCGAAATACTACGTAATATCACTCCCCTTCTGAAATGCTTAATTTATTATACTTCCCACGCAGTATAAACTTATTAACGTGGCCTCACAAACTTTTCGGTCACACAAACACACTGTACAGGTCTTTCAGATTAAATGTCGCATATGAGACGCCTTTTTCTTGGAGAGTGGTTTTTTTTTTTTGTTTGTTTGTTTTTTTTGCTATAGGGCTCATGCGCTCGCCAGACAAACAGAGAGACAGAGACAGAAAGCGAGAAATCACCCCCCAGGGGAAATGGCCATGCAGCAATCCCTTCTTCTCCATTCTCCTCTTGGGATCTTGGACATGCACGCACACGCGC